TCTGCCTAGGATGGAAGACCAGCGAAGACCAGTCAACAGCTTAAGCTGCTTTTCACTTTTTTTCTTTCTTTCAGCAGGGCAGACAGAGATAATGATCTATTCAATAAAAGGAGGAGTAAGAAAATGCGAAGCTTACCCACCAAAAGGGCTTTGTTCAATATCTTTGATGAAATGTGGACCATGTGCATCAAATCTTCCATGCAAAAAGAAAATGCTAATGTGAATGTGCACACAGATGATGACAGTTATAACTTGCATGAGAAGGGAAAGATTTCCATGTAGGTAATAGACATTTCAAGTCGGCAGCTGAGGCTATTTTCATTGCAAAAGCTGTGTTGTACTTTTTCTACCAGTTACAGGAGTTGTAAAAGAGATACGCACACACACACATACATATATATATGTCTTTATATATATAAAGATTTCCAACTGCACCCTGTTTCTACTATACTCTGTAAAGTACTACTTCATATTATACGGATTACTGAGGAGAGGTATTATTTCAAGAAGAAAAAAACGTTAAAACTTATTTTATAAAACGGATAGTTCTGGTCCTTGATTCTGATTGGTTGAGCCGCGTTCGAAGCTGTTGTAAATTACTCTACAAACATACACCTTTGTTTACGTTTGTCTGTTGCTCGGTTTGGCGGAAGAATACTGTTTTTATTAATATCATTACACTTTATTTGCTCTGTTTTATTCTGTGAAACCTTACTACGTATATGGAATAACCGATTTATAAAAGCAATAAGCCCTGTGAAGCCATGGTTTACAGTGATTTTATAACAGCTAAGCTTCGCGTCGTGCCTAACAACGCCCCTTAGCTGTTATAAATTCACTGTAAACCACGGCTTCTTGGGGCTTATTGCTTTAAGAACACATAGAAACCACATAGCAACCACCCACAACGTTTTCTTCAGTAAAATGTAAAAATTAAAAGGAAAAACAAAAAATTGTGTTTAAATTATTTTTAATTCATTAAATCATTTTCAAAGACATTCAAATCTAAAAACAAAACTACTCACAAAAAACGGAACACATTGGGTTCTGAATTGTAAGGAATGCAAGTGATGTGCATTATAAGCGGTCTTCTTCAGACTGAGAGAACCGAAACAAGTCATTCCACTAAAGCCTCATCGAAACTACCGACTGAATCAGCATGAACACTGTCCGATTCGGTTCAACTAAGAGAGTCCAGAGAATAAGTACAGCTTAGTTCCTCCTCTCTTTCACTCTTTTCTGTATCTCGGAGCTCTCTCTGTCAGAGAGTGGACTGGCACACAACATGACTCCTCTGCCCGTCTGATCCACCTGCACGCTCATCATACAGCACATATCCACCAGCTCTCTTTGACAATGCTGAATCCCGCTGTCCACCTCACCGCGTCTCGCCGGGTCTTTCCGCAGCACTCGAGCCTCTGCTGCCGTGTAGCCGATGAGTTTGGTGAGCATGGCGTCAGACAGATCCACATCCAAGTACCCGGTTCCGTCAGATATGGTGGCCCCGAGTTGCCACACGCCACTACTACTGCGCAAATTTCCTACTAGCGTCACGATGAAAGCTTGTAGTCGTAAAACCTGAACTTTGGTGGGAGGCCAACAGCCAGCCTGTAGCATGCAGAGGTACGGTGGTGTAGGCGCATCTCGTTCGCAACCAGAAGATCCAGCTGTGTTTGTAGAGGAACTTGTAACAGATGTGTGAGGAACTTCATTTAAGGTTCTGCTTTGGTTGGTGTTGCTAAGCAGATTTCTAGAGCGAAAAGTTTGGCTTGGTTCTTCGGTTTTGTGTCGGTTGGGGAAGTTTGCATCAGGTTCCTCTACGTTTGCAACAGGAACTTCATTTAAGCTTCTGCTGTTAAGCATAATTCTACAGCGAAAACTTAGAAGGCTTGGTTCTTCGGTATTGGGCTGGATTACATCAGGGTGCTTGATTTCAGAGTGTTCCCGCCTGCTTGGCCTGACTTCTGAATCTATCGGGTTGTCCAGCATCACACTGTCCAGCTCCTCTAAAGGGATGTCATCAAAGTCCTCGTCCACCACATTTTGTGGAACGTCATCAAAATCATCTGGAATACCTCTGAAGTCATCATCTGGAATTTCATCCATATCCCAGTCGTCTTCTCTGGAAACGGGCGTCGCTTGAGGACGGGGTTGCGACTGAGGTGGTCTGAAGGAAGCTTCTGAAGCCATGCTGTTGTAGCCGCTGTCAGCTACCTGATGACCTACTGGAGCCTCTACGCTGGCCAGGAGCTCCTGGTCATCCGGTTCCTCGCCTTGTGGATGGTTCTCCTCAGGCAAACCGAGTGTCCCGCAAAGCACTCTGCTCTGAAAGTAAATCTCCAAGAGCTGTTCCACCTCCCCACCCAACACCTTCACGTTCTCTGCTTTCAAGAGCAACACCCCGAGACAGACGCCGATTGGACCGACTAGCTGTAGCTTCGTCCCGGGTGGCAGGTTGGTGCTTAAAGCCGGGATGGGCTGGTATTCCATACCCTCCAGACTCTGCACTCCATCCGTGAGCTGCAACATCAACATACGTGTGGGCTTGGCCTCCCACGGCCGCTGCGTTTCCGGCGTAACCGCCGAGACTTGATCATTGGAGCAGGCGGTGCCCCGAATACGCTGCAGCTGAGTGTAGGCAGGCTGGCTGACGTCTAGCAGGGAGTCCATCTGAAGACAGTAACAGCTGTTTAGTTCTGTTTTCTGTGCCTCGGATATTCTTTCGGGGAGCACCGGGTGGGACAGATCTCGCAGGTCAGTCACTAGCCATTGCTCCAGGATGCGCTGATTCAGCAGCGACTGAGGCACGGATTCGCTAACCGCTTCCACCTTTATCCAGTTCACGCAAGCGTCCAGCCAGGTGTGAGGGACCTGGATGTGCCATTGAGAATGCAGCCATGCCTGGGTAAGCTGGACTTCACCCACTGACATCCTCTCACTGTCCCGAACACTAGAGCTTCATATTTTAAACACAGACAGAGGCAAATGCGTATTAAAGATTTAAGAATTAAGAATTAAAAGACTTTTTAAACTAATGCAATTTTTTTAACTTTCAAATCTAAGGCTACAGCATCCAATTATTAAGTTGGTAAATTATATATATATA